TCAAGGAGATATATGGGTAATGTAGTCTAGCATTATGCTAGTCAGAGAGTTAGACCTTTGTTAAGTGTTTTCAATCTCCCCCTATAGTAGGGGACTGAATGTGTCTCATAGTAGTCAATTGCACTACTAAACACTGAAGCATGCTTCCTTCCCTGTCCATTATAAGTCCTCTTAAGAATAAGATAAGCTGACCCCTTAGTAGACCCTTTAGTGGTTGTTGGCGTCACCATGGGTTAAGGACATTATGGGTTAAGGACATTATGGGTTAAGGGCATTATGGGTTAAGGGCATTATGGGTTAAGGGAATTATGGGTTAAGGACATTATGGGTTAAGGACATTATGGGTTAAGGGAATTATGGGTTAAGGACATTATGGGTTAAGGACATTATGGGTTAAGGGCATTATGGGTTAAGGGCATTATGGGTTAAGGGAATTATGGGTTAAGGACATTATGGGTTAAGGGAATTATGGGTTAAGGGCATTATGGGTTAAGGGCATTATGGGTTAAGGGCATTATGGGTTAAGGACATTATGGGTTAAGGACATTATGGGTTAAGGTCATTATGGGTTAAGGACATTATGGGTTAAGGGCATCATGGGTTAAGGGAATTATGGGTTAAGGGCATTATGGGTTAAGGGCATTATGGGTTAAGGGCATTATGGGTTAAGGGCATCATGGGTTAAGACCATTATGGGTTAAGGGCATCATGGGTTGAGGGCATTATGGGTTAAGGGCATCATGGGTTAAGGGCATCATGGGTTAAGGGCATTATGGGTTAAGGGCATCATGGGTTGAGGGCATCATGGGTTAAGGGCATTATGGGTTAAGACCATTATGGGTTAAGGGCATCATGGGTTGAGGGCATTATGGGTTAAGGGCATCATGGGTTAAGGGCATCGTGGGTTAAGGGCATCATGGGTTAAGGGCATCATGGGTTAAGGGCATTGTGGGTTAAGACCATTATGGGTTAAGGGCATCATGGGTTGAGGGCAGTATGGGTTATGGGTTATGGGTTAAGGGCATCAACGATTGAGGGCATTATGGGTTAAGGGCATCATGGGTTGAGGGCATCATGGGTTAAGGGCATCATGGGTTAAGGGCATCATGGGTTAAGGGCATTATGGGTTATGGGCATCATGGGTTAAGGGCATCATGGGTTAAGGACATCATGGGTTAAGGGCATCATGGGTTAAGGGCATCATGGGTTAAGGGCATCATGGGTTAAGGACATCATGGGTTAAGGGCATTGTGGGTTGAGGGCATTATGGGTTAAGGGCATCATGGGTTGAGGGCATCATGGGTTAAGGGCATCATGGGTTAAGGACATCGTGGGTTAAGACCATTATGGGTTAAGGTCATCATGGGTTGAGGGAATTATGGGTTATGGGTTATGGGTTAAGGGTATCATGGGTTGAGGGCATTATGGGTTAAGGGCATCATGGGTTGAGGGCATCAATGGTTAAGGGCATCATGGGTTAAGGGCATTGTGGGTTAAGGACATTGTGGGTTAAGGGCATCATGGGTTGAGGGCATCATGGGTTAAGGACATCGTGGGTTAAGGGCATTGTGGGTTAAGGGCATCGTGGGTTGAGGGCATCATGGGTTAAGGGCATCATGGGTTAAGGGCATCGTGGGTTAAGGGCATCGTGGGTTAAGGGCATCGTGGGTTAAGGACGTCGTGGGTTAAGGACGTCGTGGGTTAAGGGCATCGTGGGATAAGGGCATTGTGGGTTAAGGACATCGTGGGTTAAGGACATCGTGGGTTAAGGGCATCGTGGGTTAAGGGCATTGTGGGTTAAGGGCATCATGGGTTAAGGACATCATGGGTTAAGGGCATTATGGGTAAAAGACATCGTGGGTTAAGGGCATTGTGGGTTAAGGGCATTGTGGGTTAAGATCATCATGGGTTAAGGGCATCATGGGTTAAGGGAATTATGGGTAAAGGACATCGTGGGTTAAGGGCATCATGGGTTAAGGACATCATGGGTTAAGGACATCGTGGGTTAAGGACATCGTGGGTTAAGGGCATTGTGGGTTAAGGGCATCATGGGTTAAGGGCATTATGGGTTAAGGACATCGTGGGTTAAGGACATCGTGGGTTAAGGGCATTGTGGGTTAAGGGCATCATGGGTTAAGGGCATTGTGGGTTAAGGACATTATGGGTTAAGGACATCATGGGTTAAGGACATCATGGGTAAAGGACATCGTGGGTTAAGGGCATTGTGGGTTAAGGGCATCGTGGGTTAAGGACATCATGGGTTAAGGGCATTATGGGTTAAGGGCATCATGGTATTTTACTCAGGCGAAAGTAAAGGGGCTTTTAGAGCTACTAAATCAATAATATCAAATCAAATCAAATCAAATTTTATTGGTCACATGCGCCGAATACAACAGGTGCAGACATTACAGTGAAATGCTTACTTACAGCCCTTAACCAACAGTGCATTTATTTTAAACAAAAAAAGTAAGAATAAAACAACAACAAAAAAAGTGTTGAGAAAAAAAGAGCAGAAGTAAAATAAAGTGACAGTAGGGAGGCTATATATACAGTAAAATAAAGTGACAGTAGGGAGGCTATATATACAGGGGGGTACCGTTGCAGAGTCAATGTGCGGGGGCACCGGCTAGTTGAGGTAGTTGAGGTAATATGTACATGTGGGTAGAGTTAAAGTGACTATGCATAAATACTTAACAGAGTAGCAGCAGCGTAAAAAGGATGGGGTGGGGGGGCAGTGCAAATAGTCCGGGTAGCCATGATTAGCTGTTCAGGAGTCTTATGTCAGTGCTGAAAGGACAACCTCAATCTTTCTAGCCTTCTCTACCTTGATCATGTGTTTTAAGTCACTGGCATAATGATAGGTTCCAATACATTATTTTAAACACATATCTAAATGAATAACAACCGCTGGGCAAAAAGAGGTTCTGATACATAGAAAAGGAGAATGTCTGTACACTGTTATTGTCACGCCCTGGCTCTGGGGACTCTTGTATGTTGAGCCAGGGTGTGAGTTTTCATTGTTTTGTGTTCTAGTTTGGTATTTCTATGTTGGCCAGGGTGGTTCCCAGTCAGAGACGGCTGTAGCTCGTTGTCTCTGATTGGGAGCCATACTTAGGTAGCCGTTTGGCATTGTTTTGGTGTGGTATCTTGTTCCGTTTGGTTTGTGTAACCGTAGGACTTCACGTTTCGTATCGTTTGTTGTTTTGTTCATTGTGTTGTACATTCAATAAATATTATGTACGCATATCACGCTGCGCCTTGGCCCGCTTCTTCTCAAGACGATCGTGACAGTTTTGCTGCTCCCAAACCTGATCTTTTAATAACAATTAGGCGGTACAATCACACCGTGTCAACCAAAACATTGGGATTGTATCACCTAAACTCAAGTTCAACTAGTCTACATTTTGCAGTAGCTTGTTGATAGTTGAACTAAATTCAAATTTTTGTAGTGTTTGCAGTAGTTAATCACTTTTTTGACTGGCTGCATCACCACTTGGTATGGCAACTGCTCGGCATCCGACCGCAAGGCGCTACAGAGGGTAGTGCGTACAAGCTTCCTGCCATCCAGGACCTCTATACCAGGCGGTGTCAGAGGAAGGCCCAAAACATTGTCAAAGACTCCAGCCACCCAAGCCACAGACTGTTCTCTCTGCTTCCGCACGGCAACCAACAGGACCCTGAACAGCTTCTACCCCCGAGCCATAAGACTGCTAAAAAGTTACTTAAATAGTTAACCAAATAGCTACCCGGACTATCTGCATTGAACCTTTTTTGCTCTAACTCTCTTGTACTGACTCTATGCAAACACACTGGACTCTACCCACACACTCACACATACTTACACTGACACCCCAACACACACACACACACACACACACTACATACGCTCACACACACACACACTTTCACACTCACACACACACACACTTTCACACACACACTTTCACACTCACACACACACTTTCACACTCACACACCCACTTTCACACTCACACACCCACTTTCACACTCACACACACACACTTTCACACTCACACACACACACACTTTCACACTCAGACACACACACACACTTTCACACTCAGACACACACACACTTTCACACTCACACACCCACTTTCACACTCACACACACTTTCACACTCACACACTTTCACACTCACACACTTTCACACTCACACACACTTTCACACTCACACACACACACACTTCCACACTCACCACGTACGCTGCTGCTACTGTCTATTATCTATCCTGTTGCCTAGTCATTTTATACCTACCTATATGTACATAGCTACCGCAATGACCTGGTACCCCTGCACATCGACTCGGTACTGGTACTCCCTGTATATAGACATGTTATTTTTACTCCTTATATTGATTCAGTATTCAGTGAGTATTTATTCATTTTGTCACTAGCTCTAGTTGTTATTCAAATTGTTATCTTATCTTTAACTCTGCATTGTTGGAAAAGGACCCATAAGTAAGCATTTCACTGTTAGTCTACACCTGTTGTCTATGAAGCCTGTGACCAATAGCTAACTACTGGAACTACACATAAAATATGTGTGAAATATAGAATTTCCTTTCTTTTTCGGCATCAGACCTCCCTAACTATGACTTGAAACACAGTTTTTGTGTTTAATAGGCTATATTTCACATTCTGGTAACAGCTGACCCCAGAGTGATCTTTTCCTGCAATTTGTAGTCTATGACATTTCAGATTTAGGTATGATAATGTTTCCCGAAGTAGCTTGGATGTAGTGAACTACTTTTTCAAAGTAGCTTTAGTTAAGTAAACTATATTTTTCTTAAGGGTAGATTTAGTGTAGCTTAACTTCTTCTTGTGTAAAGTAATTGGTAGTTTGGTAAACTATGATTTCAGTTTAGCTTCCCCAACAACTGCCTAAACTTTATTAAAGACACCTTACCTTTTCCCTTCAGCCGACTCCATTTCCTCTCCTCCTCCGCTTTCCTCTCTCCTCTCCTCCCTCATTCAGGATGAGTTCCCCGTGGTCAATGACTTCCCTCCGGTGTTGAAGTGGAGGAGAAAGCCGTCTATTCCGTCCATGTCCTCCTCTCTTCCGGATCTCCTGGGTAACTCCACCAGCAGTCGGAGTGCAGTGGACATCCCCTACCTACCTACGGAGGTTCCACTGACATTAAAGGGTAAGGTCAGAGGTCAGCCCCGCTCTATCATTAATCATCAAAGGGCGACAGCTAGTCATTTCCTGGATGGCTAATTATTATTTTGGATAAAAAAACGACTCCAGGCTACACTTGAACGTCTAAAACCTGTCAGAAAGTATCTAGAAATTATATTAAATATTAAATATAATAATAAATATAAAAATTAAATATAAAAACTATATATTTATATTTTGAAATAACTTCACCTTTTCCGGACCGAAAATTGATTTTGACGGACAACTCAGTCCGCCAAAATATCTGTAAGACCGTTGATTTAAAAAATCCTGAGGTGGCTCTCAAGCCTTGAGATGTTGCTCACCCCTAGAGGTTAGAGAGGTAGGAGGGTTGCCAGTTCAAAACTTTGAATCCCGGGGATTATGGGGAAAATCTGGAGGGAAGTGAGCTGGCAACCGGGGGATTGCTGTTGTCAAATCCTAGATGCCATTGTTACTATCACCTGGTGTGGTGAAAGGTAGTTCAAATGGTGGACATGTTAGGACCTCTGTCAGGGCTGAGTTTTAAATGGTGGACATGTTACGATGTCTGTCAGGGCTGAGTTTCAAATGGTGGACATGTTACGACCTCTGTCAGGGCTGAGTTTCAAATGGTGGACATGTTTTGACCTCTGTCAGGGCTGAGTTTCAAATGGTGGACATGTTTCGACCTCTGTCAGGGCTGAGTTTCAAATGGTGGGCATGTTACGACCTCTGTCAGGGCTGAGTTTCAAGTGGTGGACATGTTAGGACCTCTGTCAGGACTGAGGTCAAAGCCTAAATCGTTGCGGACAATAACCTAACCATTGCTCCAAGGTCAGATATTTTCACCCCCTTTATGGCCCAGGTTAGGATTGGGGTTATGGATATCTGATCCTAGATCTGTGGTTAGAGGCAAGCTCTGTGGCAACCTTTCATCCATCACTGTCAGCCCTCTCACAGCCTGTCATGTTTCGTTCCCTCTCACCTCCTGCACATGCTCAGAATAGACATAGCTTAGTTGGCTGCCTGATTGACTGTTATCCAACAATATTACCTTGGCAACGACATGGTGGCTAAAACAGAAACAGGCTAACAGGTTAGCTCGGCTAGGCTCTGTTTGGGTTCTCTATGCCTGACGTAGTCTCTCGTGACACTGATATAATGCTTGACACAGAAGAGGACTAATAACTTATTGGTTGAATGGTTGATATCTCTTCCTTCCTCCACTTCATAGCTGTGTGCTAATGTAGCCATTGGAGTCACCTTCTGGGCCAAAAGTCACACACTGATAAGTGGGGATCTATTGCTGCTAATTACCCAGCTGATAGTATATTCCTCACCTTCTTAAACTACCTGAACTCAGTTGATCTTTGTTTAGAGTTTGACTTTTTTAAATGTTTTTTAATGTTTTTAAAGTGAGTTGTACAGACTGTAGAAGTATGAGAGCTGCTCTCAGGGCGGCGGGAAAAACACTAACTGTTCTTCCTGTCAGATCATTAAAAGCCCAGCTGCGTAGGAGTTTTCAGCAGGGTTCTGTTCAATTAGGCACTAAATGGAAATGGAAGAAAATAGACTGAGAGAGAGGGACTACCTGGACTCCAAAAAGAAACACTCATTTTCGTTTGCCATTGCAAAACATTATGAAACGTTTTCCATAGCGTGACTAGGGCTGTGACGGTTATGGAATTTTGGATGTTGGTAATTGGCCAGCAAAATGACCGCGGTCTCCGTGATAACCGTTTATTTTTTGACGCACATTTTCTCCTGTCCTCTTCTCCTGACTGCATGTGCTACCATATACATAGATTGAATAGAACGGGCGTCTCCATTCAAGTCAATGATGGCATAATGTGTGGACTGGCGGTCATTGCGAGTGTACGCATAGGACCAAAGCAGGAAGTGTACCCATCAATATATATACACTACCGGTCAAAAGTTTGGACACACCTACTCATTCTTTATTTGTACTATTTTCTACATTGTAGAATAATAGTGAAGACATCAAAACTATGAAATAACACATATGGAATCATGTAGTAACCAAAAAAGTGTTAAACAAATCAAAATATATTTTATATTTGAGATTCTTCTAATAGCCACCCTTTGCATTGATGACAGCTTTGTACACTCTTGGCATTCTCTCAACCAGCTTCACCTGGAATGCTTTTCCAACAGTCTTGAAGCAGTTCCCACATATGCTGAGCACTTATTGGCTACTTTTCCTTCACTCTGCGGTCCGACTCATCCCAAACCATCTCAATTTGGTGGAGGTCGGGGGATTGTGGAGGCCAGGTCATCTGATGCAGCACTCCATCAATCTTCTTCTTGGTAAAATAGCCCTTACACAGCCTGGAGGTGTGTTGGGTCATTGTCCTTTTGAAAAACAAATGATAGTCCCACTAAGCCCAAACCAGATGGGATGGCGTATTGCTGCAGAATGCTGTGGTAGCCATGCTGGTTAAGTGTGCCTTGAATTCTAAATAAATCACAGACAGTGTCACCAGCAAAGCACCCGCACACCATAACACCTCCTCCATGCTTTACGGTGGGAAATACACATGCGGAGATCATCCTTTCACCCACACCGCGTCTCACAAAGACACGGCGGTTGGAATCAAAAATCTCACATTTCCACCAGTCTAATGTCCATTGCTCATGTTTCTTGGCCCAAGCAAGTCTCTTCTTCTTATTGGTGTCCTTTAGAAGTGGTTTCTTTGCAGCAATTCGACCATGAAGGCCTGATTCTTGCAGTCTCCTCTGAACAGTTGATGTTGAGATGTGTCTGTTACTTGAACTCTGTGAAGCATTTATTTGGGCTGCAATCTGAGGCTGGTAACTCTAATGAACTTATCCTCTGCAGCAGAGGTAACTCTGGGTCTTCCTTTCCTGTGGCGGTCCTCATGAAAGCCAGTTTCATCATAGCGCTTGATGGTTTTTGCGACTGCACTTGAAGAAAATTTCAAAGTTCTTGAAATGTTCCATATTGACTAACCTTCATGTCTTAAAGTAATGATGGACTGTCATTTCTCTTTGCTTATTTGAGCTGTTCTTGCCATAATATGGACTTGGTCTTTTACCAAATAGGGCTATCTTCTGTATACCACCCCTACCTTGTCACAACACAACTGATTGGCTCAAACGCATTAAGAAGGAAAGAAATTCCACAAATTAACTTTTAACAAGGCACACCTGTTAATTGAAATGAATTCCAGGTGACTACCTCATGAAGCTGGTTGAGAGAATACCAATAATATGCAAAGCTGTCATCAAGGCAAAGGGTGGCTACTTTGAAGAATCTCAAATATTTGTTTAACGCTTTTATGGTTACTACATGATTCCATATGTGTTATTTCATAGTTTTGATGTCTTCACTATTATTCTACATGTAGAAAATAGTAAAAAATAAAGAAAAACCCTTGAATGAGTAGGTGTGTCCAAAATTTTGACTGGTACTGTATATACATACATACACATATATACACATAATAAAAATACAAAATCACAGTCATTAAGCTAAAATAAACCACCCAGAAAAACTGTAAAGTAAGTCCCCAATCTACACTTTAAAGTGCCCAAACGGCACCAGAACATCAAGAACGAATATGTACTGTGATTTTCCCCCAATGTGCTACACAAGCCCGTTCTATTCATTGTATTCCTCTGTCTGCTGCATCGGTTGTTGCTTGTTTCAGCAACAACCGCATGATCTTCTGTAAGAATGGGATTTTTACTTTCTATGTGGAAGCACCACTTAAAGTAATGATTGTGGTTTAAAGGGCCTTGTGTAGGTTAATCAAAGTAAGGTTGTAAGTGGATCTCACGTGTTGAAGTTTCTCCGAAGGGTCTGACTTCAAGTTCAATTCCTTCTGCACTGGTGTCAGAAGAGGGATAGGAGACAGACAGTGGAGCTTAGCTGGAGTTAGCTGTTAGCCATTCACATACTCAGTGCTGTGTTGACTGTGTAGTCTATAGTGAAAGAATAGCTCAATGCTAACACTAATGCCATTCTGCTCTGCTGCGTTGTGTATAGATACAGAATAGCTCAGTGCTAACGCTAATTAGCATTCCTCTCTCTTGTGTTGTCTATAGAGACAGAATAGCTCAGTGCTAACGCTAATTAGCAATCCTCTGTCTTGTCTATAGATACAGAATAGCTCAGTGCTAACGCTAATTAGCATTCCTCTCTCTTGTGTTGTGTTGTCTATAGAGACAGAATAGCTCAGTGCTGACACTAATAGAGCCCCACAGTGGAGGTGTCATAATACCCATAAACCTAGCGGTCAAACAGGGAAATGGTTCCAATCGTTTTTCCACCATTCATTTTTCCAATAGGGGATTTTAAAAACACATAAAATAAGGGCTGTGTTTTGTGTAGGCTTACCCTGGTGTGATGTTTTGTAACTCTCTCTCGGACAAGGTGATTTTTATCAATATATTAGGCTCTATTTACACTCAGATTAAAAAATGCTAATTAGCATTAAAGTAGACATCATGCAAGACTACATTTTTTACATTTTAGTAATTTAGCAGATGCTCTTATCCAGAGCGACTTACAGTTAGTGAGTACATACATATATTTTTTTCATACTAGATAGTTAATCCAGAGATTTGGCAGTCTCGTCCAGATCATCATGGCATTTATAGTTTTTTATGATAGCCACATTAGCCGTTAATTAGCATTTCATTTTTGGGGGGTAAATACAGGTGAATATATTGATAAAAGTCACCTTGTCCTAGAGAAATTTACACCGTTTTCAAAACGTCATGCCAGGTTAAGCCTACATGAAACACAGCCCTTATTTTAAGTGTTCTCTAAAATACCCTATGGGAGAAATGATTGGAACCATTTGCCCTGTTTGACCGCTAGGTTTTATGGGTATTATGACTATTAGGATTCCTCTCTCTTGTGTTGAATGTGACTCCTGCACTCACATACAACCACACACTCAAAGCCAACGCTGCTGTCCCATGTACAGAGACATTAAACACTGGACACTTCACATTTGTTGTATACTGTGTATTTATATACAGTATTCTCACATAGCTCATACTAATATATCTACTACTGTACATTGCATTTTGTTACACTGTTTATACACACCATGTTACACTGTTTATACACCACTTATTTATTTATATACTGGATTCTTGACATAATTCACCTAATATATCTACTGCTGTACATATCATTCTTAGTATATCTTTATGGTGTAAATACGCAGCATAGTTTGCATTTGGATTACTTATACAGTGTTATTTGGGTTGTTTTAATTGGATTCGTTCTGACATTCTTTTAGATTTGTTGATTTTAGTTTTTTTGTTGTTGATAATTTGTGTTGTTGTTGCTGTTAGGAGATAGTCTGCACCGTCTATAACATCTGCTGCTCTGTGTTGTGTGCAGACCGGGGTCTGGAGACAGAGCAGGTCCTCCTGACACGGCCGGCACCGGAGCTGGGGCACATGGAGTACCAGCTGCTCAAGTTATTCATCCTGCTGTGAGTACGGGACTGACTAACCTGGTCCCAGATCTGTTTGTACTCTCGTGGCGTGCCGCAGTGTTTTATCAAACTCGGTCCTGGGGACCCCAATGGGTGCACGTTTTGGTCTTTGCCCCAGCACCACACAGCAGATTCAAATAATCAATGCTTGATGATTAGTTGGTTATTTGAATTAGCTTTAGTAGTGCTAAGGGCAAAAACAAAGTAAACGTGCACCCCTTGGGGTCCCGAGGACCAGGTTTGGAAAACGCTCGGCTAAGGCATCTCTCATTGTATTATACACTTACTGTCATACTGCCACCTTCTGGTCATAGTTATTCTGACACTTTCATATTACACTGACATATTACATGTTTTTAAATGTAGACATTTGTATTTCTTATTAATGGCATTACACTGCTGATCTGTTGAATAGTCAGAACACAACTTGAGTGAGATAAAAATAGCATACATGGAGTTTTACTATGACATCAGCAGTGCATGGGCCGGACGAACCAAGTCTCCGGCCCTGGGAAGGAATATTTTAAAGGCTCGCCTCCTGGCAACGGAAAGAAAATGTTGCGCTTTTCAAGCTAATTTCCTGCAATTCTATAGATTTTGTCATGTGGCTGAGATTTTTGTTGTTGTTTCAGCTTCAAAGCTAATATCCTGCAATTCTACACATTTTTCCATGAGGCAGAGGGGAGATACGAGAAGTATTGAGTTGAAAAAAAGATAATTGGTGGAGTAAAGGACAATTAGCTTTGAAGCTGCTACAACAACAAACAATCTCAGCCACTACTGGTACCTGTGAGCCTCCCAGGTCCATGTTGCCCAGGGTTATGAACATAAATTGTAAATGAATAATATTACACTGTATATTATTAGACCCTCTAAACCTATTCCACCCCTAGGCCAAAATGAGTTTAATCTGTTGTTGTTAGTAATATTATGTATATTTTGAAGGACCTCTGCGGACCCCACTTTGGAGAATGTTGTAAACAATGTGGTCTGTCTCCTTCAGTATTGTCCTGCTCCTTGTGTCCTCCTGTTACCTGGCCTTCCGTGTGTGTTGTCTGGAGCAGCAGCTGTCCTTCCTCAACACACACCCCACAATGCCCATGAGAGAGAGGTGAGGGACACACACACACACACACACATACACACACACACACACACACACACACACACAAAAGAGAGATGTGAGTGTGCATCTGCACTCTCTCACACACACATACACACTTCTCATTTTTGACCCATGAACCCTAACCTTTGTCCCCCAGGCCCTTTGAGCTAATTTCCCATCTCAACACAGGGCTGAATGCTTTGAGCTCATTTCCCATCTCAACACAGGGCTGAATGCTTTGAGCTCATTTCCCATCTCAACACAGGGCTGAATCCTTTGATAAGTCATGTTTTCTGTATAGTCATATTTTATTAAATAAAACATTGCTTTCCCACTTCGAGAGGATATAGTGCTGTTGCTATGCCAACGTGCATGTTTGTCTCTTCCCAGGTAACACTTGCTGCATGCTGCTTCCCCATTGGGCAGATGGTCTGTCAGTCACGGAGGTTCTCCTGGCCATTGGGCAAAATGGAAACTCCGTTTCTTTACCTGTTCACTCTGTCCCACCCTGTAGGTTCAATGAGAAGACAATGAAGACCTGAAGCGAAAACTGCACTTAAATTGAAAGCCCAATAGGGGGTGCCAGAGAGACAAATAATCATTTTGTCGTTCCCTAGAAAGACTATGGACTCCACAGACAAAAGACTGGAATGGAAGGAAGAGGATAGAGGAGGATTGGAAGTAGACGACTACAGAGTAGGTGTCAATGGGGCAGTGCCAACCGAGTTCACCTGACCTTTGACCTCAATGTCCTTGTTTTACTTGGATGCTGCCAAGGAACTTTACGATTCCAGTCGACTGATCAGACACTTCCGCGTCCAGGATTTCAGAGACAGAGCCTGTTGTCAGACACAGAGCCTTTTTCAACAGGAATAGACTGCACCCAGTAGGAGAGTTGCTACAAGAGAGGCTGAAGAACGATTGAAGATTAGAAGGCGTTCCGATCAGGAACTCAACCTGACCTGGTCAATCATTTGCCACCGTAGCCCAACTTGCAATGTTTACCGAGCATTGGTCACTAAGACATAACCGCTCCTGTACACTAAGGAAAAATAGAAACCATTTCAATGGACATTATTATCAAGAGGTTTAACATTTCTGTCAGAATTGTGAGATGTTGTGCTAGAATTATAGCTGTCTTGTCATGCCAACTGAAAGCATGGTACTGTGTGTGTCAGGTGAGGTTGTCAAGTCAAGAAGTGAAAGTGTCTGTGTATGTGTGTGTGTCTGTGTGAGTTTATTCACCATTATGTGTGTGACTTAACAAGTGGCTAGGACTGTCTCAAGGTAGTTGGTAGCTTCTCCACCTGATAAGCCATGACAGGTGCGTCATGTAATGTCATGTCATGTCATGTCATGTAATACTAGATATTGACTGAATTGTAAAGCCATTGTCTGTGACACTGTTGCATGGATGTGTTGGATGGAGTGGAACTTTGGAAGTGAACGGAGAGAAAGCAGTGAAGAGAGAGAGAGAGAGAGAGAGAGAGAGAGAGAGATGAGAGAGAGAGATGAGAGAGAGAGAGAGAGAGAGAGAGAGAGAGAGAGATGAGAGAGAGAGAGAGAGAGAGAGAGAGAGAGAGAGAGAGAGAGGCTGACATTGAATGTCGTTGCGGTTCACTTGCCCTTAATGTTCCATGTGGAGATGGGTTCTATAAATATTGTAATGTTCCATGTGGAGATGGGTTCTATAAATATTGTTATGTTCCATGTGGGGATGTGTTCTATAAATATTGTAATGTTCCATGTGGGATGTGTTCTATAAATATTGTAATGTTCCATGTGGGGATGTGTTCTATAAAGATTGTAATGTTCCATGTGGGGATGTGTTCTATAAATATTATAATGTTCCATGTGGGGATGTGTTTTATAAATATTGTATAGTACTTGAAACCTAATCATGTATTTCAGAGGTTATAAGATAAAACATAAGAGAATTACATAGGAGACTATGTATTTATGTAATCCATGGAGTGAAAAAAAACAGCCTCCACTTCGACTACAAGATGCACCTTTAAAGCATATCCGAGGCTGGGCAGACAGAAAGGTGTAGACTAGAATGTACTTTTTAGCCAATGTATTTATTTGAGCGCAATTTTGTACTGTGTCAGAGAGGCATGTTGTTTTTAGTAAGTAGGTATGAGTGTGTTCACTGGAGTATTTTGACCTTGGTCGAGTTCATTAGGCACATAATGGGGAGGGAAAACTGATTGAAATGGAGGGAACTACTTGTATTTGTCCAATCAGAAATGCTCATTTCGTTTTCTGTTACAAAACGTTTTAGAATGTTTTCCATTTGCGTGCCCTAATGAATACGTCCCTGTCTTGCAGTAGAGCTGGAGTCTCAGCAGTGTTGGGCAGTAGGGAGGGAGTCACAGAAGTGTCGGGCAGTAGGGCTGGTGTCACAGCAGTGTCGTGCAATAGTGCTGGAGTCACAGCAGTGTCGGGCAGTAGGGCTGGAGTCACAGCAGTGTTGGGCAGTAGGGCTGGAGTCACAGCAGTGTCGTGCAGTAGGGTTAGAGTCACAGCAGTGTCGTGCAGTAGGGATGGAGTCACAGCAGTGTCGTGCAGTAGGGCTGGAGTCACAGCAGTATCGTGCAGTAGGGATAGAGTCACAGCAGTGTCGTGCAGTAGGGATGGAGTCACAGCAGTATCGTGCAGTAGGGATAGAGTCACAGCAGTGTCGTGCAGTAGAGCTGGAGTCACAGCAGTGTCGTGCAGTAGGGGTGGAGTCACAGCAGTGTCGGGCAGTAGGACTGGAGTCACAGCAGTGTTGGGCAGTAGGGATTTAGTCACAGCAGTGTCGTGCAGTAGGGAGGGAGTCACAGAAGTGTTGTGCAATAGTGCTGGAGGCACAGCAGTGTCGGGCAGTAGGGCTGGAGTCACAGCAGTGTTGGGCAGTAGGGATTTAGTCACAGCAGTGTCGTGCAGTAGGGATGGAGTCACAGAAGTGTCGGGCAGTAGGGCTGGAGTCACAGCAGTGTCGTGTTGTAGGGCTGGAGTCACAGCAGTGTCGTGCAGTAGGGCTGGAGTCACAGCAGTGTTGGGCAGTAGGGATTTAGTCACAGCAGTGTCATGCAGTAGGGAGGGAGTCACAGAAGTGTCGTGCAATAGTGCTGGAGTCACAGCAGTGTCGGGCAGTAGGGCTGGAGTCACAGCAGTGTCGTGCAGTAGGGCTGGAGTCACAGCAGTGTTGGGCAGTAGGGCTGGAGTCACAGCAGTATCATGCAGTAGGGCTGGAGTCACAGCAGTGTCGTGCAGTAGGGCTGGAGTCACAGCAGTGTCGTGCAGTAGGGTTGGAGACACAGCAGTGTCGTGCAGTAGGGATGGAGTCACAGCAGTGTTGGGCAGTAGGGATTTAGTCACAGCAGTGTCATGCAGTAGGGATGGAGTCACAGAAGTGTCGTGCAATAGTGCTGGAGTCACAGCAGTGTCGGGCAGTAGGGCTGGAGTCACAGCAGTGTTGGGCAGTAGGGCTGGAGTCACAGCAGTGTTGGGCAGTAGGGCTGGAGTCACAGCAGTATCGTGCAGTAGGGCTGGAGTCACAGCAGTGTTGTGCAGTAGGGCTGGAGTCACAGCAGTGTCGTGCAGTAGGGTTGGAGACACAGAAGTGTCGTGCAGTAGGGTTGGAGTCACAGCAGTGTTGGGCAGTAGGGATGAAGTCACAGCAGTGTTGGGCAGTAGGGATTTAGTCACAGCAGTGTTGGGCAGTAGGGCTGGAGTCACAGCAGTGTTGGGCAGTAGGGCTGGAGTCACAGCAGTGTTGGGCAGTAGGGCTGGAGTCACAGCAGTGTCGTGCAGTAGGGCTGGAGTCACAGCAGTATCGTGCAGTAGGGCTGGAGTCAGCAGTGTCGGGCAGTAGGGATTTAGTCACAGCAGTGTTGGGCAGTAGGGCTGGAGTCACAGCAGTGTTGGGCAGTAGGGCTGGAGTCACAGCAGTGTTGGGCAGTAGGGCTGGAGTCACAGCAGTATCGTGCAGTAGGGCTGGAGTCACAGCAGTGTCGTGCAGTAGGGCTGGAGTCACAGCAGTGTTGGGCAGTAGGGCTGGAGTCACAGCAGTGTTGGGCAGTAGGGTTTTAGTCACAGCAGTGTTGGGCAGTAGGGCTGGAGTCACAGCAGTGTTGTGCAGTAGGGCTGGAGTCACAGCAGTGTTGTGCAGTAGGGCTGGAGTCACAGCAGTGTCGTGCAGTAGGGCTGGAGTCACAGCAGTATTGTGCAGTAGGGCTGGAGTCACAGCAGTGTTGGGCAGTAGGGCTGGAGTCACAGCAGTGTTGGGCAGTAGGGCTGGAGTCACAGCAGTATCGTGCAGTAGGGCTGGAGTCACAGCAGTGTCGTGCAGTAGGGCTGGAGTCACAGCAGTGTTGGGCAGTAGGGCTGGAGTCACAGCAGTGTTGGGCAGTAGGGTTTTAGTCACAGCAGTGTTGGGCAGTAGGGCTGGAGTCACAGCAGTGTTGGGCAGTAGGGCTGGAGTCACAGCAGTGTTGGGCAGTAGGGTTTTAGTCACAGCAGTGTTGGGCAGTAGGGCTGGAGTCACAGCAGTGTTGGGCAGTAGGGCTGGAGTCACAGCAGTGTTGGGCAGTAGGGCTGGAGTCACAGCAGTGTCGTGCAGTAGGGCTGGAGTCACAGCAGTATCGTGCAGTAGGGCTGGAGTCAGCAGTGTCGGGCAGTAGGGATTTAGTCACAGCAGTGTTGGGCAGTAGGGCTGGAGTCACAGCAGTGTTGGGCAGTAGGGCTGGAGTCACAGCAGTGTCGTGCAGTAGGGCTGGAGTCACAGCAGTGTCGGGCAGTAGGGCTGGAGTCACAGCAGTATTGTGCAGTAGGGCTGGAGTCACAGCAGTGTTGGGCAGTAGGGCTGGAGTCACAGCAGTGTTGGGCAGTAGGGCTGGAGTCACAGCAGTATCGTGCAGTAGGGCTGGAGTCACAGCAGTGTCGTGCAGTAGGGCTGGAGTCACAGCAGTGTTGGGCAGTAGG